TTTGTCATCTCTAGAGTGGCATCAGATCAGGCTCTAGAGACTTCACACACACCAATGCAGAGTCCAGAGGGTGAGCTGCTTACTGGAACAAGGCAAAGAGCCTGCCATGGGACTTAGATGAGTCTACTTCAGGAGATAGCCCTTCACAACTAGGCATCTGACACAAATCCCAGCTGGGATTCTCTTGTCTAGAATGTCTTTTGGCACTTGTTCATCCCCCAGTGCTGGCTCAGGTCCTAATGGACTGGATAGGAGAGTGAATGATGGGTTTTTGGATTTGTTTGTTCACACCATGGCCATTGGTAGAGAGGATTCCAACAAAAAGCCACACAGGAGCTTTGTGGAGTCTTCCTCTGCAAGCCCACCCAACTCATACTGGGAGAGCTTCAGGACAGGGACCACATATTCCTATGTCTGCACAGGACCTAGTACAATGGGATCTCATCTCAGGTGGAAGCTTTTGCTGCTTCTTTGCCCCAAAAGGGTTTCTGCATGAGATTTAGTGGAGAGCATTTCATGCACCCAGCTCTTCATCTCTTGTCTGAGCACAAAGAGACCAGTGTTCCCTCAAGCTTGCTTTGCACACCACAGCTACTTGCCACTTCAGATCAGCAGGGAGAGTTTTCAGGGTCTTCTCCAAGGGCACAGGGCTGTATCAGCAGATGTGGTAGAGAATCTACTACCCAACAGCTCATGAGCCAGCAACCAGCACCTCACTTGCAGCAGCTCCAAGTGCTTCCCCTGTGTTGCAGAGTACAAGGATTTGAGTCCCTCCCCCCTTGTCCTTCTGCTCACAGGGAGGCTTTACTCCTTGGTAGTAGACAGTGACCCAAGCTGTAGTTTGACACTTCAAGTCATCTGGGAGCTGTAATGTTAACATGTAAAAAGCCAGGAGGCTGAGCTAAGAGGACCCAGTCAGGCCACTGCTCTCCAACCCAGCCAGGCTGGTCCCTGGATTTCTGACCATGGAAATATTAGGAAGTTTGAAGACTTGCTCCAGCCTGCAGGAAGAAATTGGAATGTTTGTGGGAGTTCAGTCACCTGAGCTAACCCAGTCCACCTGCTCTTTGTGCAGGACTCTTGCCACTCAGCCCCAAGGGCAAACAGTCCCTCAAAAGGAAGACTGGCTTAGGGCAGCCACCTAGGGTCTCCCTACACAGCAGTTAGACACCTGCAGCCTGCCTGTGATGCAGCTCCCAGGATTGGGGTTAAGGAGTGTTTAATTGCAGTGTAAACACAAGCTCTGGGACCCTCCCACCTCACAGGGTCCTAGAGCCCAAAACATCTACACTGCAGTTAAGCAGCCTGTGAGCTAGAGTCAGCTGACACAGGCCAGCCATGGGTTGAATTGCAGTGTAGAGATACCCTTACACTCCTGTACCTCAGAGAGGTGCTAGTTGCTTGCCACCTTGCATGGACTAGAGCTAGTTTAGCAATTCTCAAAGGCAGGTTCAGGTTAATCAAAGGCACCCATTGCAGCCTCTAGGTGACTAAAGTTTGCTAACCAAAAAAATCCAAGCTCTGTCAGCTTCAGGCCCCTTGTGCCCAGTAATAAGACTGACTTAGCCAGCTAGTCTGGCATTCAGGGCATGGTGCAGAGGGAGTGAGGGTGGACTAGCATGAATTCAGAGCCCCCAGCATGGCTCTGGAGGAGCCTCCTGGAGTCAGACTTGACTTAGCAGCCTCCGGCAGGAATCAGTCTTCAGATTGTGCCTCGACAGAAAAGCTGCAGCCCTGACACTGAGTCCCCGGCACGGCACAGGCAGGAATGTGCTGTCCAGCTGCCAAGAGAGCCAGCCGTTGGCGATTAGCAGCTGCACTTCCAGCAGACTCTATGTCAACATGCCAGCCACCACCCTGCCCTGCAGGTGGAGGTCTTCACAAGAGGGAGAGGAGATGGCAGCTGAGCCCAGCAAGAGCCAAAGGGAGCCCTCTGCCACAGAGGAGATTGGGGGAGTGGTTTCAGCTGACACTGCCTCCCTGCCATTGGGGCCAGAGCAATCTAGATTGGAAGTCACGCAGGTGTGACCATCCAAGGAAATGACTGCCCCCCACTAGGGTGGTCTAGCCAAGTACTGTCAGCCCTCCCACCACTAAGCAGCAGCAGGCACTTGACTGCACCCAGCTGCTCCCAGGGTGTTCCAGGGGGCTGGGGTGTAAGCAGCAGCATTTGGCCAGAACGGTCTGGCCTTAGAACTGCAACATGCAGCATGGAGACAGCTTAGCCTGCCACCTGCTATACATGCCCAAGTTTCCTAGCAGCCTTGGTTCTGGGGAGGCAGGAAGGAGCTGGGTGAGGAGAGCTTCTTCCCTACCAAGCCTGCCCTGGAAGGAGCATGTAGGGGCACAGCTTGCTGTTCAGGAGAGGCATTTCAATGAGCATTCAGGCCTCACCCCATAGTGCCTTAAAAGGCATCTATACCCGGGTGGGAGTCAGAATGAGATTCAGCTAGGCCTGAGCAAGCTGGTTGTAGCCGGAGAAGTAGCTGCTTCCCCCCTTTCAATAGATTCTGAAGGCACCCGAGAGTCCCTAGCCTGCATCAGGCAACTAACGAAGCCTGTTTTCAGACAATCCCACTTGGGCACCGAGCTATGGGAACCTGAAGTGCTCTCATCCTACTGGGCAGGTAACAACTGAATGTTATGGACTTGCAAAGGCAGGACATTATGTTGGACTAGATGTTGGCTCCCAGCCAAGTATAGAGCCACTCTGCATTCCCTCCAGAAAGTCAGAAGTCCCCACCTTCTCCAGAGGAGCAAGCTGGACCTCATGTCAAAAGGACAATTGTGCACCAGACCCTCAAAGCCAACACAAGTTCTCCAGCACCAGGCTCTCCTCTGCTGGGAAAGAATCAGATGACATTTAACATCCTAGATGCCCTCCAGACCAGGACTCCCCAACAGTCCTATGGCCCTGGAAGCTGCTCCCCTAAAATACCAATTGCTAGAGGCCACCTCAGTGCTCACACTACTTGGCCTTTCTGCCAGCCAGCCACACAGCATAGCTGAAGTCACCTGTGCAACACTACAATGGTTCTCATCACTCCTCTCCAGCAGGAGCCGGAGAGCTATTTGAGTATCTGCTCCTCTCCAGAGACATCACCTGCAGTCCCCCAGGATCTGTCCTACCTACCCTGCCCCTCCAACCCACTGACATCTACCTTCTGGCAGGTCACCAGGAATGCGAGTGCTGGGACAGTCAGCTGCAGCTTCTCCCTACAGATGCAGCCACCACTGTCAGTTCTGGCACTATGCCAGCCCTCAAGTGAGCAGCCTGCTCCCATTAAGCCTGGACAAGGCAGAAATACCAGCTGGGAGGGAGAAAGCATGTAGCTAGTCACTGACCTCCCCTTCCATCGATGGGCTCTGCCTCCAGTTGCTGGAAAACCTCAGGTTCTGCTGCCTCCTCACCAAGTCTGGAGGGCCAAATGTTGAATGGAGGAATCCCTTTCCCACCTCCTGCTCACTTGGGGGACAGCACCCCTTTGGGGAAGGGAGCTGACCAGCAAGCCATGCATGTGTCACTGGGTAGCTCTGCAGCTGGATGCAGAGGCTGCAGTGTGTCTGCTGCAGCCACCAACAGGCTACACTGCTGGAAGAATACATCCCCTTGTGCGCTGCTCTCCACCTGCATCCAATCCATGTCCATGGGGAATACTTTGGCTCATTTCTGGTCTCTGCTACATACAGAGCCTGCCAAGGCAGCTGTGTGCCAGGACAAGGTGGCTAAAAGAAGCCAGGGTAAAGCATGGGGGAGCTGGAGAAGGCTTCAGTCACTGAAGCCAGCTGCTAGAAGCAGGTTGGCTCACCCAGTGTGTCTGCTCTGAGCTCAATGAGGTGCTCCCTTGTGGGAGAGCTGTGCCACCAGGGGCCAGGCACAGGAATGTAAATGCTTATTGAACAAGTTACAGATATTACAAGAGCCCCACACTCCCCCATGCAGAGGGTCCATCCTAGGCAAGATGCTGCAGCAGCGACACTGACCCTGCAACGGTAGGGGCTATAGCAGATCCTTACCTTGCACTTTTAGTGCGAGCCAGACAGCCTGGCCCCTTCCTGAAGGGCCATGTTGGTATGGGGCAAACTGACCTGCCATGCCCACAGAAGTTCCCAAGCCACAGGAAGCAAGGGTCCTGGTCCCCACACTGACTCAGAGTTTGCTCCAGGAGCTGGAAGAGCCTCCTGGCACCTCTTCCTCCCTATTGCAGTTTGGGCCAGGAGAGCCAGAGTGTCCCTGCATGGCACCTCTAACCCCTCTGCTTGAGTGGAGCATCACTGCAGTGACAGATGTTCTTCTGTGAAGACCCCTCTTCAGACCCCACGTTTTCCCCCTGCACTGGGGAGTGCATTGCTGTGCTGCTCTGTGCAGCTCCCCACCACCACCACATTAGTTAGGGCTCTCTGGAGCTGCCTCCTGGCAACACCGGCAGTCTGCCAAGAGGAGCTGAGCCCCAGGCAGGAGCGGGCTTTGTTTGTGCTAACTGGGGAGGAAAGGTAAAGGTTAGGCCTGATGTCGTGGGGCTGGGTCTAGCCCCTTTGGAGAGTCTGGAAGGAAGTGCCTGACAAGTGCTGTTCTCGAACGTGCACAGTAGAGAATTTAGTTGTGTGCTTCCGTCATCACATTGCTCGCCTCCCCCACCATGTGACATGAGTGAGACAAGGGTGTGGCCGGGGAGAGATGAACTCCTTTGACACCAAGTAGCAGGTTTTCCCTGCCATGGTTCAATGAGGTTCCTGCCCCCTTGCCCCTGACAGAGCTAAGTAAACCCTAGCTTGTTGGGGAGAAGTTCAATGTAAGATGGTGCCATGCTGTGGTGCCATGTTGTGCTGCCAAGTTGGAGATGTGGGTTAGAAAGAATGCCTGGCATCTCATTCCCCAGGCTCTGGTGGGTGGGTAGCGTGAGGCCCATGCACTGATCGCCAAGGAGATATGGGCTACAGAGATGGGCAGAAGCTTGCAAATCCCGCTGTGCACCCTGGAGAAGAGATGGTTACCTTACCAGTCTTTCCAGACGTGGGGGCCATCATGCTTAGGAATGAAGCTGTAGGACAGCCACTCCACTAGCGGCAATTAGGCATCACTAGGGTGTCCCATCTCCAGGGACAGCTCTGAGCTTCAGGGCTAGCCTGCGCTGGCATCATGGCTGGCGTTCACTAGGGACATCAAAGGAGGGATTTGAGAGAGGGAGGGAAGGCAGACGGGATCATTTAAGTCAGTGATTGTCCACTGTGGGAGTCCCCGTGGCAGAGGCTTGCAGCATCACACAGTATGCAGTCAAGTATGCCAGCCCATTGTGCTGTGGCCCTCCCAGAGATATTGGTGGTGGGACAGGAAACAGTCAATGAGCAGGTTACTGAAAGCTTCAGTGCTACTAGACACCCTGGACCAGCCTTGTACCACCCCTTGCCATCTGAGTGGGAGACATGTGCACCAATCCCATGGAGCAAGCTTGGCCGGAGCTATTACACTAAGTCACTCCTAGAGTTCTATTCAAGGCAGCAAACAGTACGCACCTCTCCAGCTGCCGCACCACTGGGGATGGGGTCCCTCAGGGATGGGTAAATGAGCCATGTGCCCAGACAAGAGCTACATGTCACAGGTCTGGCTTTACTTGGGGTAGTTTAACAATTGGTTAGGGGTTCATAGGCCAAGGAGACCCAAAGAGTTACAGGAGTCCCTCCAACAGGCTATGAACCTGCTGATGCCCAGTGTAGGGGGACCAGGTCCCACACTGCAGGGGACCATCCAGGCAGACCAGCATTTTTGCTCACCCCGATTTCCTGGGAAGGAGAAGCTGCAGCAATGAACCTGTGGAACGGTGCATGTGCTTGTATGCTGCATCACAGCAAGGAGGACAGTGCCATCTCTAGCCACCGTAGCCAGTGTGGATGGAGGACTTGGCCAGTGGTCTGTTTTGTTGCATATTGAGAACAGGGTTTGAAGGCCACTTGCTTGGCAAAGATTTTATCCACAATTCAAGAACTAGTCCTCAATCTAATCTCACCCCACCCTGCAGCCCCACCCAGCCAGGCCTCTGCAGCAGAGGGCTCCTGCCTATGGATTAAGTGGCTCAGCGCTGGCAGCAGTTAAGTAATGTTTAACTCCATACATTTTTATGGAGCACCTGTGCAGGAATGCCTCTGAGGACATGCCAGCTAGAGATCACAGCATGGGGAGAAACCTGGTAGTGACTCAGAGCTGCAGGAGAGGATATTTGTCCCAAAGCTACTTTAATGAGAAGACCTGATCAAACCACACAGTCCTTGGCAAGACACTCCTTCTCTTCCCTTGCTGCCCCTGGAGTGGGAAAGGCCAGGTGAATGCTGCTGGCATGTGGATGAGCTGTACAGAGTTCTACTGTTTTGAAGTTAACCCATTACTGTTCTGGCTGCATGGGCTGTACTGTAGTTAGTGCCATCTGCCCAGCCACCCAGCACAACATGGCAGCACTGCCTAGGGCAGAACTCCTGCTCGTGGCTTACCTCTAATGAATACTGCTTCCTGTAGGGCATCTAAGAGGAACTCTAGACAGACCAGCCCTGTTGGAAGTGGAGCAAACCAAAAAGCTTTTAGAGTGACTCTCATGAGCTAGATGGGCAGAGCTGATCTTGTAAAGCAAGTGCATTAATATCCCTCTGCACAGGTGCTGACTGTGGGTGCTCTGGGGTTGGAGCACCCATGGGGAAAAATGGTGGGTGCTGAGCACCTACCAGCAGCTCCCTGCAATCAGCACCTCCCCCTCCCTGCACCTACAATTGGCTGTTTTGCAGCATGCAGGAGGGGGATGGGAGAGAAGCAAGGATATGGCATGCACAGGGAATGGGTGGAGTGGGGGCAGGGCCTGGGGTTGAGCATCCCCCAGCACAAAAGAAAGTCAGTGCCTGTGCCCCTCTGGCTCAAGTCCTAGGGAAGGGTAGGTGAGGCTTCTGGTCCAGGTAAGCTTCCAACTGGCCTTCCCTTTCAAGGCCATTCTTGAAGCAGCTGCAGTGATTACATTTTACCCTTCCTCTAGCCATCTCCCAGCAGCCTAGGGCTGTATAGAGAGGCATGGTTTGGTGACTAACCTGATAAAGGAGTCTCATTATGTAGAGCCCTAGTCATTCTAGAGTGCAGTATCCCAAGTCACTACCTGCCTGTTTAGGATGGGCATGTGTACTTCAGATCTCTAACAGAAGTGCAGGGACTTGAGCAACCAAGCGACTGTCAGTCAATGCAAGGGTAGGCCACTGCTCATTCTGGCCCTATGCAGCTTATTGGCCTGCTGGACCTCTCACCTATGTAGCAGAGTGCCAAAAAGAGTGGCTAAAGAGAGGCCCGGCTGGGCAGAGATGGTCTTTCCCTAGTTCAGTCTTTGAGGGGTCCTGATGCATAGGATACAGGACACAAGCCTGCATGCGTCAATGCCTTAAGCAGGGATATCAGGACTACATGGCAACAACAAGAGCAACTAACCATGGCCCTTTGTTGCACATCAGCTGAACCCAGACACATTAAGATGCAGCAATACACAGTGGAGGCTCCCAGACAAGGTTAACTATCCTTGGTACCTCTATGGCCTCACAGCCCTGTGGCTCCACCCTGGGAGGCAGGGCCAGGCTGTTATCCCCACTTCCAGATGGGGAAGTGAGTGAGCCAGTGTGACTTGCTCAGGTCACACAAGGCTGTTTGTGGCAGAGCAGGAATTGACCCCCTGATCTTCCATGGACCAGGCAGGGCTCTAACCACTGAGCCTTCCTTCCTCTGCCTCCCCATGGTGAGGCCATGCTAGGTTTAAGTTAGCACATTGCAGGTCCCAGATTAGAATTAAAAGCTTGTTTAAGCTACAATTGGTTCTGATGCCTCCTCCTGCACAGGGCTGCACCACAGGCAGAAGCTGAAGCATCCAAAACCTTAATGTGTTTGGATTGGGTTTTCAGTGCAACTCTCAACAGGTCGGGGGGGGGGTCAGTCACTGGTCTGGGGACCATTACAACATTCTTGTAGTTTGTCCTTAGGGATTCAAACTCAACTTTAGCTCCATTTTAGTGTGGTGGTCTTGGAATTCCTTTGATTTTAAACAGGACATTGGCAGACACTAACCTTTAGCAAGGAGCCCAGCTTTTGGTCATGGAACTGATGCAACAGCCTTAAGTTGTATTTTAACTTTGAAAGGGCAGATTCGTGGGCATGCCAAAGCAGCCTGCCAGCTCCAGTTGTGAAGCTTTATCAAAGCAGCTGCAGCATGCTTGTAAATCTGGTCCTTGCCAGAGACTGGAGCTAGGACATGGGGCTTGAGGACCAGGCTCCCTATGGGCTCCAAGGCTTCTGCCTCAGTTCCCCTCTAGAGCTGCCCTGGTGCAGCAGAGCCATATGGAGCCTTTCAAGCACTGCTCCCCAAGCTAGCACATGGGTACAGAACATCAGAGATCAGTAACAGGTAGGCAGAGTCATCTACCAGTGAAGTGTCCTGACACACGACCAGTCTACCTCATGCCTGCATGCAGTGATCCTGTTTCCAGTAAAGCTACAGAAGGGCAAGAATTGGAGTGGTCATCGGAGCTGTTGACCTGACCTGGTCTATAGCCTATAGCATAACCAATAATTAACTCCCTAGCTATTACTGAGTTGATTCAAATGCAGCCCATGCACAAAGTTCCCATTAGTTTTAGCGATGAGAAGTTTGAAAAGCACCATTCAGAACAAAGCCAAATCTCAGGTACCTAATTTAATTAAACTTGCATTGAGCTGTGTACATGCAGCCATCTGGCAGTACACCTTCCCTTTCAGGAGCCATGAAGGTGGAGCCCCTGTCTCACGTGCACATGGAACTCAGCCTTGGCGACAGAGTTGTGACTGGCCCCTCCATAAGCAGGTTGCACAGCTCACTGATCCGCCAGCCTTTCCTTCCACTGGCCCTGCTGAACAGGATTCTGCTTGGCTCCATGTACTGCCAGCCAGCCAAGTCCCAAGGGCAGGCTTCCCCTGCTGTTGGCAGCCAGGCAGACTGAACCTGCAGTGCCAGAAGTGTCTGGGCTTTCACCGCCTGTGGGGCAGGTGAACTCGGGCTTTCGTCAGGGCCCCCCCGCAAGCCTGTTCACTTAGAGCACCAGCACAGGAATGCACTCTCCTGCTCAGTAGTGGATCAAGGTGCAGAAGCCAATGGCCCAGCCAATCATACAGAGAGAAGGAACAAATAAGGCTCCAAGTTAATGGTTCTCCAGAAGGCACAGGAGGGCTTCCCTTGGAGCAGGGCAGCTGGGCAGGACTCACCTGAGCGTGAAGGGCAGCAGCGGCGGCAGCAGCAGCTGGGTATGTGAACGCGGCATGGGGGATGGCAGGGGTTAGCTCTGTGGTGTACAGTGGGTAGGGAGCCCATGCCTCTGGAGATGCCGGAATAAGAGCTGCTCCAGCCAGGTCATCTAGAGGTTTAGAAACAGCAGTGACAGTGTTTGAGATGTGTGCCGAGGGGGAGCAGAGCTGACTGCAGCAGTAAGACTGAGGCTCAGCACTGCTTTGCTTTCAAGAGTCCCTGTCCCCCCCCGCCCCCAAGGGGAGATGAGGAACTCCAGTTTGGTTAGATCTCTCTGGAGAGCCACTCCTCTGCCTCCATGCCCTGAATAGCTCCTTGCACCCAGAGCCCTGTGCAGCTCAGCCACCAGTGATCAAGCTGAGGGAAGTTATGGCTTGATGTGCTAATGCCACCTCTCCTGCCCTGGGGGGTAAGGGGTGGGCTAACCCTGACAGCATGGCAGCCTCTATAGCAGCGTGAGTGCTCTGAACCATCTACACCTGGTGACCCCTTGTTGTATGTGAATCAGGCTGCCCCAGCAAAGCCCACAGGTGGGCCCTGCTGCAGCTGTGGGTGAAGGACCAAGTTGCTCTCCCCAGTTTCAGTGCCCTCCCAACAGCCAGCAGTGACTGCACATCTGAGGCCAGGCTCCTGCCTGATGTGGGCATTAATGGCCACCTAGACAGCAACAAGGGAAGCAGCTGCAGTGCCCACTCCTGCTTCACTGTAGAGCCCCTCCTTTCCCAATGCGGCCCCAGTGGCTACTCACAGGGGTCCCGTGCGATGAAGTGTGCGCCCAGGGCAGGGTGGATGTTGGTGGGGTTCGGTGTGGCCATCAGCTTGCTTTTTGCCATCTTGGTGTTGGCTTTGGCAAACTCCAACCGCAAGGTCTGGGGGTTCTCTGGGTCGAAGCGGATGCCCTGCAGGAGGGGGAGCACAGAGTCTTGCACTGAAGCAAATTCCATTCCCCAGGTGGGTTCAAGATGAGAGGTGACTAGTCACCTCTCCCCAGCCAGGGACCAGAGCCCAACCTGTGACTACAACCAGTTATGCAGAGTGAGGTGAGGCCAGGGAACACTAGACCAGAAATGGACTGCTTGACTCTCCAACTTTCTGTGCACTAGGGAATTTTTCCATCTTGCTAACAGCTGATCTGGTGTTGGTCCTGTCCATATGTGCACACTTCCAAGCCCCACACAGCACTATCTTTCAGAGTGGGTGAGCTTTGCTCAGAGCAAATCTGATGGAGCTGGAGATTGGAGAGCCCTGTCCACACTGGCATTTCCTCCTGTTGGCAGTGGGTGTGGCTAGACTCCTGGTAAACCTGGGTGGGGATGCACTAGTGTGGAAAAGGCTGCAAACTTCTTGCACTAAAGACAGGAGCGTGAGCCTGAGCAAGCCACAGGCAGCAGCTGCTCAGCTCAAGTAGGGGGAGGCAAGATGTGCTCCCCAACATGCAATAGCCTGGCTTGTCACCTTAGCAAGGTTTTTATTAGATGGCTTAGGGGCAGGATGCTAAGTAACGGGTGGGGGCACACATGGCTGGACAGGTGTGCACTTCATCACATCCCAGCAAGGATAATGCTCAGTGTATTGAGCCAGCAAGCGCATTAGTCCCTGGCAGACACCTGATGCCATGGTGATGGAAATGAAGACATAAAATTCCCCACAGATCTACAGGGCCCGTTGTAAGCCAGGTGCTGGGGGAATTCAGAAGTTCTATCCATGAGACTTTCTGCTGAACTGACTTGTCACCCTCCCTGCCTGACAGCACCTAGCCATTTAGCACTATCAGTAAGGCAGCCCTCCTCCGGCAGGGCCACGACATGGGTGTAGCAAACTGCTACCCAGCATTGGGGAACCTGGGGTCTGTAGTCCTCACATCTTCATTTGCAAATTAGGGCATGAAAGGTATCACCAAGCTCAGCCTACAGGCTCCTACATTTGGAATAAATATTTGGTAATGGGCTCTTCAGTCTAGCCACCAAAGATATGAGACCCAATGACTAGATGTTGAAGCAAGATGAATTCAGACCAGAAATAAGGTGTACACTTCTGATGGTTAATTACTTTCACTAGAACAACTTCAAGGATTGCAGCAGCTTCTCCAGAGAAGATTGGCTGTTTTTCTAGCTTTAAAGGGAATTGTGGGGAATCTGACCATTGCTATAGAGGTCCAATGAGAGGATCACAGGGACTTCTTCTGGCCCTGGAATCTATGAACTGAAGGCTCACCCTCTGTTTGACTGTCCCACAACCAGGGGAGCCAGAACTCACCCAAGTTTTATGCCACCCCCACCCTACACTGCACAGTCTTACAAGCTGGTTTTGCAGTTAGTGTCTCATTTCAGACATGGTTACGAATAAGGCAGGCTGTTGTGATCATGCAGTGAAAACCCTTCACCTCAGAGCTAGAGACCCAGACATGGGAGGCCTTTAGTCTTCAGTAGAAAGGTGTGATGGGGAAGGGAGATGACGAGCTGGCAGTGAATAGAAGGAAGCTTCCAGTATTTGCTTTGCCCAGCTCACAATATAATGCCAGAGGTGTTACCTAGCTGTGGAGGAGTTCTGAACAGACGAAGTGCATTGCATTGGCGATAGCTGGTTTCTAGACCAGGCTGAAGTCCTAGTGTAGGTACTGATCCTTGCCCTCCATTGCTTTAGGGTATAGCTGACGGGTGGGGAATCCTTCACATGCTGCTGACAAGCCAAGCATCCATTTACCTTGCTGCCTGGTTAGAAGTGGCACTAAGCATCAGCTGCTAGAGGTGGGGGTTACAGATCTCCAAAGGAACACTGGGGCTGGTTAGCCACATGAGGCCCCAGCTGGAGACATGGATGGGTACTTACATTTAAGGCATTCTTTGCTGCTTCAGCACCAGCTCGGCTATCAAAGGTAACGAAACCAACTGGCTGGAGGAGACAACAGGTTAGGTCCAAGCGCCTCCTCCCATGCTAGTCCTCCCCAAGCTGCCAGCCCCAGCCAGACCAGAATCCTGCAGCATTCAGAGAGTGGCAAGAGGCCAGTGTGGCTGCTCTAACCCATATCTTAGAGGCATCTGTGCAGAGGCAGAGAATTCAGAGAGAAGCCCAAGATTCATACCATGCTTCCATTCCCCACCCACCACCCTCCAATGTGCTTCTTCTGGCCTGGGCCCAGGGCTGCTCTGTTAGCACCATGGGAATTTGCCGATGGATCATTAGGCCAGTCAGGACCAAAAGCCCTGTGGTGTCTGGCAAAGAGCACTGAGATCCAGTCACCCCCAGCTCTGGCCTCGGAGTAGTGTCTGAATTGCAGTTCCAACTGGTGTTCAAGCTTGTCTGGGTTTGGGGGGACAGTTTTGTCAGGGCAGACAAGGGCAGGGCAGTCACTGGGTTAAAGGTCAGATCCCAGCCCCTCTCTCACTTGGTCATTTCACATCTTCAGAGAGCTGCATGACATGGGGCAGCAAACTGCCCTACCTCTGCAAGAGCAGCATATGCTTAAGCCTTGGGGGTGGGAGGGGATACCACATATAGCCTTTGTGAAGGGGCACCACCACTTCCATGCAGCCAGCCAGCTCAGGTCATGGATTAAGCTTTCATCCCCCTGCTTCCCCCAACTGTGGAGTCCAGGGAGCTCTGTAGGGAGGTGTGACACCTCCCAGTACCTAGGGCAGGAGGGCCCCAGTTATCCATAGGGATTTACACTAAGAGGCTCGGAGTTGGCAGCTTCACAGCTCTGCCTCCTGTTACTAGGCTTTCCTGCTAGCACTTGCCTCCCAAGCAGGTGACTGGGGTTGTTCTGTGGCTACCCCTCCACAGCATTATTGGAGGGGGGCTGCACTGGACTGCATGCCAGCTTTGTTCACACAGAAGCACAGCTCTCAGTAAGAGGACAGCAGGGACATGTCAGTCAGCTTGGAGTGACAGCTCCCACATCTGAGGCAGAGGCAATGCAGCACCCGCTGAGCTGGTCCCATAAGCTCACAGGTCTGTGCCCTGCCTAGGCTGGGCAACCCCCATCCAAAGAATCTCTCCACAGCTTTAGACTGCCTCTAGCCCACCACTGTTCAAAGCCTGCATCATCAAAATGGCCTCTGGTCTAGTCTGCCTGTAAGATGCTTGCTGCCTCGTTGCGCTCAGCTGGATGAGAAGTGGAACAGACCAGGTGGGCTCAGTGTTTTACTCCCCAGGGTGGAGTCACTGGTGGTCCCACTCCAAGGCTTGCTGCTGCCCAGCCATGCAGCAGAGGTGGCTGGAAAGGCATTTGGGAAAGCTGTATCATGGGCTGGGGGACAGGGTCTGGATGCAGGTGTGAGCAGGAACTGAGGAGAGCACCCAGGCTACCAGAGGATGGCAGTTCACCCTGCAGGGACTGTGGGATCCTCCCTGAGCCCCATCCTGGGAACCTAATCCCTGCTACAACAGAAGCCATGGAACTAATGCTGGGGGGGGGGGGGGAGAAGAGATGGAATAAAGAGTTACCTGTTTTGATGTTAGTTTGATCAGTGACCCTTCATAGCCCTGGAGAGAGAGAGAGAGAGAAACCAGAAAGTTACGACTCCTTAAAAAGGCAAGACAACCAGTGAGGCATCATGACAACACAACTGACTTCAGGAATCCCCCACCAGCCCCAGCTAGTTTCTGAAGCATAACTCTGGATGATCCAGCTGTGTTTGAGCTAGGTTAGCCTCTCCTCCCAAGCGAGGGCAGCCTGGTCCCTCTTCTCCCCTCCCACCCTGCTGAACTTGGCAGGCATCACAAGTGCTAGGCTCCCACCTGTGCCTGCTGGACAGCCTGTGAAGAGTTACTTAGTAGCAAAAGCAGCTTCCCCAGGGCTGCTCACAGCAGAATTTAGGTCTTTAGGAAGATGCACAGAGGAGGCATCTGAAGTTCATTTTGATTCAGAGTCTGTTCAGGAAGCTAGATGCCAGCATGGCTAGGGGGCTGGAGCACGTTAACCCCAGCAGATGCTACTGCCAGCTGATGAACAAGAGATTACTGAATGGGGGGCAGGGGGGAGAAGGATGGGATACTGAGGTGGGTATCCTGGTCCCAGTCAGCTATTGTTTCTGGTCCCCATGCATCCAGAGCAGCAGCACTGCCTAGACCTCTGGTTTTCAACCTTTTCTCATTAGCAGAGTTCTAAAACATTTTGGACTGGAAGTGCAGACCCTTTGGAAATCTTAGGCACTCTGCACACCCCCAGGAGTCCAGACACCATAGGCTTTGCCACTGGCCTGGACTATACAGACTGCAGACCAGAGCACCAGCATCAGTTTAGTTTCAGCCCATAGTCTGGGTTTACAGCTTCCTGGACCAGACACACCCCTACACCTGGATTTGCCCAGGAAGGATGGCTTGTTGTGCCACCAGTGGTCAGGATTGTGCAGTGTTGTGCACAGGGCCATTAGCACTAGAGGCAGTGCCCCAAGCAAGCCCGGACACCTCTGCAGAAGTCTATGGCAGAATTGCTTGTGCCCCAACCCCATGGCCTAGGGCAAGGCCCAGCAGGTTCTTATCCAGACAGGACCTGCAGGGTTTGGAAAGAGGAGTCTGTGCCATAGCAGGGAAGGGTGGTACAGCCCCCCACTCCCATGAACAGGCCTGTTCTCCAGGTACACTGGAGGGGGAAGTTGTCATGGTAGTGGTTCAGCATCTCTACCCAGCTTAGCTACTCCCCAGCCCCTCTGTGATGAGCTATCAGAGATTTCAGCTGTCACAGGGAATCTGACTCACACCTGGGTCAGACATTTCACCCACTGCACATTATTAGGGACAAGGGGGAGCTCTTCACCTCCCATGTTGCTCTGGCTGCTGTTTGCTGCTCTAAGGGGACATCCTTCTCCCTAGGGCTCTCCAGTGCAGTGGAGAGTGAGCAAGCAGCACCTGCTGTGGCTTTTAGTACATTGGTGTGAGCTCCTGTGAAAGGGAGGAACCACCAGAGGGCCCCAAGGGGCACCTTCTGGGTTATCAGTGGGGTATGGTGAGTGCCAAACTCCCATCAACCCTGGGCTCAGGACAGTGAGGGATTGATGGCCTGCAGTGCCTGGGGCAGAGGGGATGGCCTCTACTCCCCAGTAGAGGCTTCTGTCACTGCCACCAGCATTAGATGCCTCACTATTGTGACTGAGCAGGTTACTCTGAAGGGCTCCCCCCTGACCCCCACTGAGCAGCAGCCCAGGTCCCTTCACTCTTCCCATTAGACTTTCAGACCCAGTAACATCTCCTCTGCCCCCCCCCCCCATCATCTCCCCCCTGCCCCCAAAGAAACTCCCTCAAGCAGATGGCAGCTGAGGCAGGCCAGCTGGAGGACCAACCAGCATGTTGCTAGCAGGGCAGCCCATTTTAGGTTGGTTTTGCACCTACTCACCTTGAACGGTCGGAAGAGCAAGTAGAGTTCTCTGGGTTTGATGTCCACAGGAAGGCCACTGACAAAGAGTGTCCGTACCTAGAAGAGAGGGGCCCACATTGAGTGCTGGCAGGCAGAGGCTGGAGTGCTAGATACCAGATGCATTTCAGAGACATGGCCTCAATACATCACCCTTCGCATTCTAGGCCTTTCCCTGGGGGATGGGGAAGAAGAGTGTGATGAAGTGGGACTGTTCTTAATGTTCCTCTGAATAGTGTGGGAGTGCCTCAGTTTCCCTTAGGCAGTTCTTAAGTATCTAGGTGGCAGGATAAGGGTGTATGATCACTGCAGAGCCCTAGAGGGCAGGTGTGTGCAGCATCATGCCTATGGCACCACAGTCATGGGGGAAAATGTTGCTTTAGCACTCAAGCTTCCTAGATTTGGGAGGAGGGGTGGGAAGGAGTGTGTAGCTAGAGAGGTCATTCAAACTGCTGGCTCACTTTCAGAGGCACTGCAAATCCTCCTTCATGATAGGGCGGGCCCATCAGGGCTGTACATTGAGCCAGCATCTCATGGGGGTGCAAGTTACAGAACCATGTAAAATTGCTGTTCACACCCAAAGCAGCTGTATGTGCTCCTTTATGGCTCTACTAGGCCCAGACCCTGTGCCTCAACATGACCCGGACACTAGAGCAGGACCTGAGACATTGCTCAGAAATACGTGAGCATGGATTAAGGTCTACTGGCTAGGAAATCTGATAAGCTGTGTTGCCTCAAAGATCTTGCTGGGTGCATGAGCACACAATGGGATGGACATACTGCAGCTTTCTACTAGTCCAGAGGCCATCTTTGCCCACCATCTTGGCATGAGTACACAGCCCCAGAACATCCTGCTGGGCCACAGAAGTTCTACCTGCTCCATCCCTATCACCAGGGCAGGAAGGGTCTAGCCACGCTGGTCTCAGCTCTCGAGCAGAGTGTAGGGTAATATCTAGTCCCAAGCGCTCAGTGGGCTACAGAACAAGTAGTGACCCTTGTAAAGGCCAGGCTGATCAAAGACCTGCCGCTGAACCTTTCCAGCAGCCTCTCTCAACAAGAGTCCAGTCATTCATCAAGAAGTTTCCTTCCTCACTTTTGTCTTCCTCTTGGTCCCATCTCAAGTACATCTCCATTCTTGCTATTTACATACAGGTGTGTGAACTTTGTTCTCCAGAGGAGTGCTCTGCGCGACCCACATCTCCCACCCCAGCCAGCCAGTCTCAAAGCAGCTATGGCTATTGATTTTAGACTTCTCCAGAGGGCTTGTTTCCCTCCAATGCTCTGAGAAACCTACTGAACTCCCTGCAAAGTGAGGGGGCCCAGAACTAGGCCTCTGGGTAGACTTCAAAGTAAAATGATAGCAAGACAACCAATGGAGACTGTTCATTGTCACCACTGGGGTTTTCAGTGTCACACCACATGCAGAGTCCACTGATGGAGTGAGTTGATGGCATCAGAGTGACATTCCATCTCTGGCTCAACCCTGCAAATCCATAAGTCTTGGGGCAACCCAGAGGACAATACCAGGCAGGCTCAGGGCACACACCCCTTCATGCCTCAATGGACAGCTTAGAGCACTGTGTTCCTCCCAGCAATGTACCTGAAGAGCATACAATGCCACTTTTGAATGTGGTAAGCAATTGGAGGAAGCCCAGATCTCAGCAAGGTTGGCTTGACTGACTCTTGCACACTTTATGCTCAGGTTTTGGCACAAACAGTGCCTATGGAATACCTTTAACAGACCCAGATCTGCCTGTAAGAGGATCCAGACTCCTGACCCATATAGTGATGTAGGCAGTCCATAGATCTGCTAGATTCTGCACTGACACAAAGTTTGTGATGTTTTCTACATCCATAGGCATGATGTGGACATCATGCAGGAGGCAGTAAGACCTGGCTGTCAAAGGACATTGTTTGCTGACAAGTTCATCAACCAAGGCTGCAAGCAGAGTGGAAACTGTAGCACTCTCCATGGTGCTCAACCCTACCTGCACCAAGGTTCTGGACCTTGGTCTTCTGTCCAGCATCTTGAGACCTTGAAGAGTCAAGAATCTTAGAAATGTAGGGCTGGAAGGGACCTCAAGAAGTCATCAAGTCCAGCCCTGTATTGTGGCAGGGCCAAGGAAGCCTAGACCATCTCTGGCAGGTGTTTGGAAGCTCTTAAAAAGAAGCTGGACAATGAGGGGGACTGTACAACCTCCTACCTGGAGGCCTGTTTGAGTTTAACCTCCCTTTGCTGCAGATTAAGCCCATTACTTCAATTGTCCTCCCATCACAGGACATGGAGAACAAGATCACCCTTCTCTTTATAAGAGCCCTTGAAGTATTAGAAGGCTTATCAGGTCACACCTCAGTCTTCTCCAGACTGGAAATGGAGTTCCCCACTTCCAATCTTTCCTCATAGGTCAGGTTTTCTAAACCTTTTATCATTTTTGTTGCTTTCTTTCTTGACTCTCTCCACATCCTTCCTAGAGTGTGGTGCCCAGAATTGGCCAGTACTCCACTTGTGGAGTCACTCATGTCAAGCAGACCAGGACAATTACCTTCTGTGTCTTGTACACAAAAAACAGTCCTGTTAGTACAACCTAGAACATTAGCCTTTTGTCAATGTGATGCAGCTGCAAAATCAGTTTATGGTCCACTAATCCCCAGCTCCTTCTCAGCACTTCTATCCCCAGCCAGTTATTCCTCAAGTTTATAGTTTTACATTTGATTTTTCCTTCCTAAGTGAAGTACTTTGAACTCAAGTCATAAAGACACTTACAGACCAACTCAAGAGGACAAGTTTAAAATTGCAAGCACTTTGGAGAACCCCTTCCATCAGGAAGTTTCATAAGCTTACTCCCCACTCCATTATTCAATGAAATGAAAATATTGGCCAGTGCTGGACCCAGGACTGACCCCTATGGGACCCGCACTAGATACACCCTTCCAAAGTGTCAGCAAGGCACTGGTAACTTCTGAGTTCAGTCTTTCATTCATGCACCCACCTTATGGTAAATTCATCTAGACCATATTTCCCTAGTTTGCTTATGAGAATGACATGCAAAACTGTTCAAACCTTACTTTTTTAGTAAGACTTTTTCATATCTACTGCTTCCCTCCATTCACTAGATCAGTAATCCTATCAAAAGGAGGAAATTAAGTTGGTTTGACATGATGTTAACAAATCCTTGCTAGCTAATCCTTATAAGCCCTATTACCCTCCAGGAACTTACAAGTACATTGTTCAATACCTGGAAAGATACTGGAAAAAATGTATTGAAGTGGACTCCTCTATAATTCCTTGGGTCCTCCTGGTGTACCTTTTTTAGGTATGGGCAAACAGAACCTTTCTCCAGTCTTGAGACCTCTCTTGTCCTCCAGGAATTCTCAAAGATAATTGCTAACAGCTCTAAGATTGCTGCAGCTAGTTGCTTAAGTACCCTAGGATGAATTTCATCAGGCCCTACTGACTTGAACATATCTGTATAAATATTCTGTTTTCCCTATTTTTAGCTTGCATTCCTCCCCTGGTTGTAAGTTACTCAACACAAATATTGACCTTTTAGTGAAGAAAGGCAAAATGGGCATTATGCACCTCAGCTTACTTGATATCAGTTTTTAACTTCTCCTTCCCTGCTAAGTAGAGGACCTACACTTCCCTGTGTCTCTTGTTCCTAATATATTTAAAGAATCTTATTGCCTTGTGCCCCCCTTGCTAGGTAAGTCATTTGTGCCTTAGCCTCAGCATAAGCATGTAGAAAGTGTTCTTTTGTACTTAATTTCATCAGGTTTCCATTTTGTAGGGTTCCTTTTTGATTTTCAGGACATTAGAGAACACCTGATGGAGCCATAGTGGCCTCTTACTAGTTGTCCTATCTTTCCTTTACACTGGAATGGGCACCTAAATTCTATCTCCATCTCCCAGTCTTGGTTATTACTTGGCAGCCTTAATGTTTAGTGCTGTTTCCCCAAGAACAATATAAATATATGCATAACTTCCCCTGCAGCTTGACCTCTGGACTCAGCACAGGCCTACTGCAGGGGTCACTACAATAGCTAGCAGCAGCTGCCGCCAGTTTTTCTGTGGACCAGTCACTAGGCTATAAAATATACTAGAACTGTGACTCCATTTTACTGGCTGCATATCCCAGGACAGATTCAGCAGGGCCTTTTTAGCAGGCAGCAAGGCTAAGTGGCCATTTGGTCTGCTATAGACACCTGGGTTCTAATCCTGATGAGATACTATGCATGCTAGTAAGTGCCCCTTGAGCAAGGCTTCACAATAGACACTAGGTGGGTACAGGATTAACTTGTCTTTTCTCAGCTCAGTGTGCCCTTCCCTTGGCCAAAGGTGTTTCAATGTGGATGGAGGGGTACAGTTATCCTGTATCAAACTGAGCCACTTCCTGGAGATCTACTCCAGCACCAGGCGATGCTTTAGTCCAAGATCATGACACTTCACTATCCTAGTGGCTTGTTAGGTCTGTGCCCTCACTGAGATGGAGTGAAAACAAATACCTTTTACAATATAAAGTTCTGGGAAGGTGGGAGCCCTCCTGATGCTTGCTGGGACTATGGCTTTTGGCAGTCAAAGATTCTTCTGGGGGAAGACCAGCTTGGAGAATTTGGAATTTATTAAGGTAAGAGATAGTCCCTGGGGCCTGTTTAGACCACCATTTAACTCACTGGGGACACAGCCAGTTACTCCCTGCAACCATTAAAATCCAGCAGACTATTCCATCCAGCAAGTGACTAAAAACTGCTCAATGCCTGGTCCTGTCCTGCCTACCCCAACCCACTTCCATTCCTGGCCACCTGTGGAATCCACTTTGCTGTACGTATGGTCTCAGCCTGCTAGGTTCCTTCTACCAATCAGGGGCCTCCTTTAGTCTGTATCTGGTCTCAGCAGGCTGGACCCTTGCCAAGGCAAATCCTGGGGTAGCATTTGAGAGTGATGGCCAGCTCCTGCAGCTGGACTATCAAGCTGTGCAAGTCAATCCTGCAGCCTCACTGGAGAGGTGTACTGACTGGTTCTCATGCAACTGCTGGTCAGAGCTGCTAAGACAAGACAGGGA